GGGCTCAGACTATAGATGATTCTTATTATATTATAGTTGGTGGCAGCGCTATCTCTTCGTTTGCGCTACGCCACCGCTACCAGAAATTTCGCTGTGGAACCCACACTTGGTAGGCCCTGGAGCTTTACAGTCCTCAGAAGTCGTGCAGTGAGCTGCTCCGCCCCACGAGAGCGAGCTGCTTGAGCCTCGCCCAACGCCAGCCAGGTAAGTTACCTATCAATTTCGCCCATTCGCCTTGTTTACAAAGTTAATGGTGGAAATCTGGTAAGTAGGGAGAAGTGTTGAAAAACTCGATGTTCGACAAGTTTATTCCAGTTGGAAATTCATAGATTGTTGATTATTATTTAAAGTTGCCTCGATAGAGGCTCGGGTCCGCCACACTCAGCAAGTCGTGCAGGGCTGAGGCGACAGTCGAGTCGGAGCATGGTCAGAGACCAAAGCCACCGACTCCCCAGTGAAAAATTGTTGTGACAGTTCAAGTTAGCAGTAGCTAACATATAAGTTGTCACACTTATAAGATCTGTCAGCACTGGCTTTTTCACGGGCCAGGGGGAATAGAACCGGACATCTCGGCTGTCGCCAGCAAGAGATACCGGAGCCATAGCCTAGGAGTCCAACCCGAGAGTCGAACCCCCTTATAGCCGCAGGGAGGCAGCACTGGGCCGCAGAGTTTTTTTTTTTTTTTTTTTTTTTTTTTTTTTTTTTTTTTTGCAAATCTACATTATAAAAGAAAAAAAAAATTACTCCACAGCCAACAGTTTGCGAGAGTACAAGATGCGAAGTAGCAGATGGGCCGAATGCGTGGCAGCAGCCCTCTGCATCTTAGATACAATACTACAGTCGAGACCAGCTTCTCTCACTCCTCTTACTAACTGCTTCGTGATGGCTCCGGTTACCCCAATGACCACTACCAAGAGCTGTATGGTGCAGTCGGGATGGAGTTGCTGCAGTTCCCGAAGCAATGGTTGGTAGCGGAGTTTCTTCTCTCGCTCCTTCTGGACGACGTTGCTGTCAGACGTTACGCCTATCTCGCAGACGACTATCCGTTTGCCGTTGCGGATTAGCAGGTCAGGCCTTGAATGCTCAACTCTCCTCGGCGTGGGGATGTTCTGGTCCCATAACACTCTCTTCTCCCCATGCGTCATCGATGGCGGCCTCGTCCACGTCCAGTACTCCTCCTGCATCTTGAATCCGAGGAGCTCTAAGGCATTGCTGTAGATGACCTTGGCCACAGCATTATGTCGGTGCAGGTACTCAGCATGTTGAAGGGCTACACAAGATGTCAGGAGATGGGTTATGGACTCATCAGTCCTTCCACAGACGCGGCAGTTCGGGTCTCGTTGGCGCTTCGGGAACGATCTAGTAGGTATGCAGTTTGCCCTGACGTTCATGATGACGTTTTCCACATGAACACTCACGACCGTCTTCGAGTCGTCAATCCACCCAAA